AATTAACGACCTGGACTTTAAGAAAAAAAATAATCATATCAAATTGTCTGATTTCTTTGAATTTTTACAGTAATTATGTCATGTTCTAAATCTAGATGAGTGTAATCTGTATCGACTTAAGCTTATTTTTTTAATATGATCAAAGACAAATTAATCATCCTCGACAGCGTAGAATTGTTTGGGAGATTGTTGGCTTTCATTGGCATTATGGCTTATGAGAAAGATAAAGGTACCAACCATTCCTGGTTTCAGATAATAAACGATGACTGCTTGGATGAAACAGTTTCATTAAATTCCAGAGGAAGGTGAAAAAGGGTTAGGTATGATCTGTGCATGACTTGGGAAAGGAGTGTCTGTCTCATGCGAAAGAGAAAGTAATACTGATGTATAGTTTGATAAAATAAGCATATCTAAGGTGAAAAAACAGCTGTTTCATATTCTATGTATATATAAAAGTACTTTACTTCTAAACTAGGTTTCATTTTTTTGCCCTTGACTTTCTTTATTTCCTTTTACCCTTTCTTTTCTTTTAATCAAGAAAATCAAAACTAGTGGGGAAAAAAATGGACTGGGGGCATACATCATGTGAGAAGTGCACACTTTTACTTCTCCCCATGAATATTGTTTTTACTGGAATTTTGAGACATCATTATTGAATTTGAAACAAGATACATCATTTAAAATGATCGATTCTTGTCCAGAAAAATTTCCTTCATAATTTGTGTTTTCCCTACTAAATCATAACCAAGATCCACCAAATTTCTCCCCAAAACTTTAAAATGACTAAATTAGTTTTTTATTTGAAGGGGTTTGGAAATGAGAAACTGTTGAGAGTATCAGTTATTATATAACATATTTATCCTCTTTTTTCTTTTCTTTTTTTTTTTGGTTTAGAGTTTGAAATATTCTTGAATTAACTTCATGTGTATTTCAATATTAATCTTTTTTTTAAATGATTTTGAGGTGTGTTCTCACATCAACTTAATACATTTAAAGAAATTAAATTTTTTAAAATATAATATATACGCTTATAATATATTTAATTTGAAAAAATTGAGAGGAGAGAAACAAAAAGATGTCATATTCTTTCATTT